TACCCCAAAACAGCCCCTAGTTTATAAATTATAGACCACCCCCCTGGCCCCCGTCGTCACCCGTCGTTGTCGTTGCCCCCCGCTTCGCGTTGTCCTGCCTCCGAATCCCCTTCCTTCGACGCCCGCGCGGAACGTCCCACGGATCTGGACAGTGGTACATCTGTCATCAAACGCAGCCAATTACGTACAATTATCCCGGTCACCACGGCCTGTCCACCACCGTGTTTATCGTCCACGAGCGCGTTATCATCCGACGCGCGACGAATAAATCCCCCGGCCAATTAAGCGAAACTGTGCCGCGGTAATTGCTAATTAGGCGTGTGTGTCGAACCAATTACAAGTTGCGCCGTGCGGCGCGGTGATTGTGATCGCGAATATCGGCGACAAATAAATTCGCTTTACGCGAAGCGCCGTGACTTCTTTTTTTCTTTTTTTTTTTATCGCATTTTAATTATATATATATCGCTTAGATTTTATTTACGCATATTTTTTTTTTTTTGCTATAATACACACACACAGAGGGTGTTTATTTTATTGAAAAATAAAACGTCTGTATATAATAAAATTACACGCTTGTTATTATTTTTCCGTCACGGGTCTGCACCTGTGTTATTTTTTTTTACGACCGCGTTTTATCGAGCAATCACGTCGCGGATTCCCGCTCGATTGGAAATTAAATTGGCGGAATAATCGAGCGCGACTAAAGGAGATTCGATAATCCATGATGCGCGAGATGTGTGAGGTAATCCTCTTCCTCGTTGGCAGAGCCGAAACAATTTTTTGCATCTCTCCAAAAAGCTTCGTAGGTGCAAGGTGGGAGGGGGGGGGGATGCTCCCGCAGGCGACAATGTGCCATCGTGCCTGCCGAAGAACCATTATAGCGTAGAGATTTCAATGGACACTTGGACAATGAACCGTTGACGACGGTGCTTTGCATTACGCAAAGGGAACTGGTGGAGTACGGGCTCCCCTTGGCTACCATAAGCCTGCTTGATCTTTTCACGCCCTTTCTACAGCTTCGAGAGAGATTATTATGTCTCCGACCCTCTCTCCAGCCAAATAGACATCTGCTTTCGAAAGGCGTAACTCATGTATATATAAAACCAAACACGATTATAAGATATATATATATATATATCTTATATATTATATATTATATATATATATTATATATATAATA